AGGGTTTAGGGTTTAGGATCAGGGTTTACGGTTTAGGGTTTACGGTTTACGGTTTTGGGTTTTTAGGGTTTAGGGGCCGGGATGGGGCTGGGGAGGAGGGCTGAATCCCCTCCCGCCTAATATTAAAGTCACCCCGCCCTACCCGCCAAAACGAAATACTCCCATCATTGTTATATGAGAGTATATTGGAAGGGGCTCAAGATTGGGAGGGGGGGGGGGTAATAGGGGGAAGGGACTAGGGATTTAGGTTCTTTAGAACGTCTTAGGGTTTGAGGGCTTAGGGCTTCCGGATTTCTGCGTTTCGTGATTCCAGACTGATTTAGGGTGTTTAGGTTGTCAGAATGTTGTGGGGTGTACCCTAAACCCTAAACCCTAAACCCTAAACCCTAAACCCTAAACCCTAAACCCTAAACCCTAAACCCTAAACCCTAAACCCTAAACCCTAAGTTAGAATGTTGTTGAGTTTGATGCTTTAGGGCTTTCGGATGTTGTGGGGTGTCAGGATCCCAGCTTTGTTGCGGGTTTTGGGACTTTAGGGGTTCTAGGACTCTGGAATTTTAGGGTTTTGGGGTTTGGGGTTTTGAGGTTTAGGGTTGTAGGGTTTAGGGATTTAGAGTGCAGGGCTTTAGGCTTTGGGGGTTTTAGGATTCTAGGAGTTTAGGGGTTTGGGGGTTTTAGGGCTTTGGAGCTAACTGTCCTTAATAGGGATTATAGTACCCCTACTACAATTATTAAGGACTGTTGGTGTAAGGGAGAGCATCCCAAGGTCTGGGGTTTTGGGGTTTAGGGTTTTGGGGTTTAGGGTTTAGGGTTTAGGTCTCAAGGTTCAGGGCCCAATGGCTCACGGTCACGGCTTTGGGGGTGGACCAAAGCGAGCGAGGTGTAGGGTCTAGGCTCAAGGTCTAGGGTCAAGGGTCAAGGGTTCAGGGTTTATGGCTTAGGGGCTAGGAATCTAAGCGACCTCTTTCATGTGGTACTATTGTTCCCATCACACCATGTGCATGCGGGCGGGCGTTGAGAGTCTTCAAGACCCACGTCCCAACAAGCCATTGCAAGCCATTCCCCTCGAGCCATAGAAGGGTTTTGGGCTTTTGGCTTCTGGCTTTAGGGGGGTTAGGCTTTTGGGGGTATAGACCTAAACCCTAACCCCTAAACCCTAAACCCTAAACCCTAACCCCTAAACCCCAAACCCCAAACCCTAAACCCTAAACCCTAAACCCCAAACCCTAAACCCTAAACCCCAAACCCTAAACCCTAAACCCTCAACCCTAAACCCTAAACCCCTTCACAGGGTTTGCGAATTTGCCAGCTTCTGGGAGTCGGAGTTGAGGCTTTAGAGGCCCTGGAGGCCTCCGCCTCTAAGGGCTCCACAGGGTTAGGAGGCTGGGGCGGTTTGGGCTTCTGAAAACCCTAAACCCTAAACCCTAAACCCTAAACCCTAAACCCTAAACGCTGTCAGGTACGACCTGGCAGCCACGCGCTGGTACTGGCCACGATGCCTCCGGGGCAGCCAGGTTCACACGGACAGGAGGCCGAGGAGTTGAGGGGTTTATGGGGTTTATAGGGTTTAGGGTTTAGGGTTTATGGGGTTTATAGGGTTTAGAGGGGTTAGTTAGGGTTTAGGGTTTTGCCTTGGAAGGGTTGAGGGTAGGCAGGGTCTCAGGAGAATTGCCGTTCAGACCTTTTTCAATAAAGCCCTTGCCTAGTTACTTATAAGTAGGGTTATGAGTACCCCAGATAAGGTTATAGTCATGCTCTTCAAAAACCCGGCGTACAAGTACCCTAAGAACTGTCCAGGTTCAGCCCCTACGTGTTTGCTACCCGAAACCCTAAACCCTAAACAATCCGACCCTCAAAACCCCAGACCCGAAGCCTGAACTCACTCTCTAAGCCAGCCCTAAACCCTACGCAAACCCTCAACCACAAAACCCTGAAACCCTAAAAGCTATAAGCCCTGAAAGTCCTATAAGCCCTGAAAGTCCTAGCACCTCTTTAAGCTGCAAAGCCTTAACAATCCTGTCACCTTTTCAAACAATAAGACCCTTGAACCCTAAGCCCGCGGCCTGAACACCCCATTTTAAGGCCTGCAGGCCACCACCACTAAACAGTACATCCTAAACCATCAAACCCTTTAACCCTAAACCCCGCAAAGCCTTGAAACAATATCGCTTGTTTACTAAACCCTAAACAATAAATCCCTCAAACCCCTCAACCCAAACAAAGCCTTGCCCTAAACCCTAAACAATAACACCCTTAAGACCCTAAACCCGAGGCCTGAACACCCTTTTTCAACCCTAAGCCCTAAACCCGAAACCCTAAACCCTAGCCCTAAACCCTAAACCCTAAACCCTTGAACCCTCCACTTTAAGCCAGCAGGCCACCACCACTTCCGGCGGCTCGCTTTGGATAGCGGCCATGCCCCAGCCGGCCCGGCGGCTGCGGCCAAGCCCAGGCAGGTGGGTTTTAGGGTTTAGGGTTTAGGGTTTAGGCTTTAGGGTTTAGGCTTTAGGGTTTAGGGTTTTAGGGTTTAGGGTTTAGGCTTTAGGCTTTAGGCTCTAGGGTTTAGAGTTTGGGGTTTGAGGTTTAGTGTTTAGTGTTTAGGGCTAGGGTTTGGGGTTTAGGGTTTGGGGTTTGGGGTTTAGGGTTTGGGGTTTGGGGTTTAGGGTTTAGGGTTTAGAGGTGGGGCTCAAAACAGTAGGAAGAGGTCTCCTGAAGGCCCAAACACCAAAAAGACAAAGGCCCGAACCACCAAAGAACGAACCCATAACCCTAAACCCATAAACCCATAAACCCATAAACCCATAAACACATAGGGTTTGGGGTTTAGGCTTTATGGGTTTATGGGTTTATGGGTTATGGATTTATGTGTTTATGTGCTTATGGGTTTATGGGTTTATGGGTTGAGGGTTATGGGTTCGTTCTTTGGTGGTTCGGGCCTTTTTCTTTTTGGTGTTTGGGCCTTCAGGAGACCTCTTCCTACTGTTTTGAGGCCCACCTCTAAACCCTAAACCCTAAACCCTAAACCCCAAACCCCAAACCCTAAACCCTAAACCCTAAACCCGAAACCCTAAACCCTAAACCCTAAGCCCTAAGCCCTAAGCCCTAAGCCCTAAGCCCTAAAGCCCTAAGCCCTAAGCCCTAAGCCCCTAAGCCCTAAGCCCTCACCCCCCCCCCCCCCCCCCCCCCCCCCCCCCCCCCCCCCACCTGTAATGGCCTCGCAAAGCCCAAGTGGCAGGCGACTTCCTGCAGTCTCTGCCCAGCTTTGGCAAGGCCCAGTTGGCCACATCTCCGATGCCCATGCGTAGGGTTTCGGGTTTACGATTTGGAGTTTAGGGCTTAGGGCTTAGGGTTTAGGGTATAGGGTTGAGGGTTTAGGGCTTAAGGTTTAGGGTTTAGGGTTTAGGGCCCGACGTGTGTGACCATGCGATTGTGTACATGTACATGTAGATGTACTTATCATGATTATGTGTATATATATATATATATATACAGATGTGCATACGCATGTGTGTATATCTACGTATGATCTTGTCTGTGTACATATATATATATATATGTAATTATTTATATACCTGAATTATATTATTTATTCATTTTGCATACAAATGTATGGAATTGACACAGCCGCAAGGGTTCAGGGTTTACCACCCCCAAGTGCCCCAGATTGCGCATGCAAACCATTTCCGAGAGCCACGCCTTTGTCATGTTTTATGGCCTGTCCAGCCTTTTTTGCAGCGCAAGCATCATAAGGTCCAAGAGACTCCCTCGAGGTGGGTTTGGGGTTTAGGGTTTAGGGTTTAGGCCCCCCCCCCCCCCCAAAACCGAGTCGTGACCCTCTGCATGTTACGCCCTGCGCTGACCTTACTTTCGGCTCAATGAAGAACCTGTGCTCAGCCCTGCCATTGGCATTCTAAGAAACACATTGTCGTGTCAACTGTCCCGCTTTGAAGGTCGGAGCCTGAGACTCTCTCAGATACCCGGTTCGAAAGATAGGTGGATCCGCCTCTTCTTGCAGATAAGGCAGGCACACAATGTGAACCCTTACCCTGTGTAAAGGGTTAGTAAGGGACCATGTAACTACCCTTAGATGCAGACAGCTTTTCGTGAGAGCTAACCCTAAAACCCTAAACCCTAAACCTTAAACCCTTGTGAGACAGAGCCCAGGTCCGTGGCACATCGGCAACATCATCATGGCGAGCTCTAGGACCAACCGATGTGCGCCGCCCGGAGCTTCTTTTTTGTGTTAGGGTTTAGGGTTGAGGGTTTAGGGTTTAGGGTTTAGGGTTTAGGGTTTAGGTTTTAGGTTTTAGGGTTTAGGGTTTAGGGTTTGGGGTTTGGGGTTTGGGGTTTGGGGTTTGGGGTTTGGGGTTTGGGGTTTGGGGTTTGGGGTTTGGGGTTTGGGGTTTGGGGTTTGGGGTTTGGGTGTGCTTTGGAGGGTGTCCCCAAGATTTTTGTTTGGACGAGTCTTGAACGGGCTTCGTTTGGATTTGAACTCGAAGCTGAACCCAGGTTTGCGACATCGGGTTGGGATGTTGCCCCTTATACTAACAGCCCTTAATTGGGTTATAAAAGGGGGTACTATATTCCCTACCAAGGATTGTTAGTATAAGGAGGAACATCCCCAGTTTAGGGTCACTTCTGGAGCGTTTTTGCTCGCAGCCGTTTCGAGCTCAGCTGGCCTCTTGGACAAGCCGAGCGCGCGCAAAGTGAGCAGCACAAACCTTGCCAGGCTCTCTTCCCAGGACACATGTGCAAACCCTAAACTCAGCAATCTGCCGCAGTCATCGCATGGAATCCTTGAATTGCCCCCAAGGCCGATGGCCGCCTCAACCCCACATGTCCTCCACCTCTTAGGGTTCAGGGTTTAGGGTTTAGGGTTTAGGCTGTTTAGGGTTTAGGGCAGTCCTGGAACCCTGACTCTAACACCTTCACACCTTGAGACCTAAACCCCTAAGCCCCCGAGCCCCCTCTGTCCTCACAGCAGCTGTTGCTCTGAAGCCATGAGCCACGCAGACTGGCAGCGAATTGTGCAGGAGGAGGCTTCGTTGTTTCCCGCCTTGTGCAGTTAGTTCGCAAGGGAACTGGAGTTGTTTTTGTGACACTTGTCGAAGGAGGCAGGCCATCGGGAATCTTCCTAAGCCCTACACCCCCACACCCGACACCCATCTTAAGGCGTACTTGCAGGTTCATGCGTGCTTATGAGTAGAGTGATAAGCAGGGTAACTATGGTTATCACCTTATGCAGGGTACCTATAACCCCACGTACAAGTACCCATGAACCACCCCAGACCCTAGACACTAAACCCTAAACCCTAAACCCACCCTAAACCCTAAACCCTAAACCCCAAACCCCAAACCCTAAACCCTAAACCCTAAACCCGAAACCCGAAACCCTAAACCTTGGGATTTGGGGGATTTTCGGGTTTCGGGTGGGATCTGCATCAGGTGCAGCTGCTAGACTCGCAAGAGCCTGGAGCGGACACAGGCGCCGGGAGAGGATTTTAGGGTTTGGGGTTTGGGGTTTAGGGTGGGGTTTAGGGCTTAGGGTTTAGGGCTTAGGGCTTAGGGCTTAGGGTTTAGGGTTTAGGGTTTAGGGTTTAGGGTTTAGGGTTTAGGGTTTGGGTGCTGCACATGAGATCACGCTGGTTTTATCGTTATAGGGACCGTCAAATCTAGGAATCTGCAAGGTCAGAGATGTACAGAATCTGTATGTCAATGTAAGGTTCCGGTTTCGAGCTACAGCTGTTTTGTGCGCTGCTGCCGCGGGCTCCTCGCTCTATCCAGACCCGTAAGGGACCATTTACCGAAGTAGCATATACAAACAGGCCTCAAAGTCACTACAAGCCCTCAACCCGTATCCCTAAACCCGAAACTTCCTAAACCCAACACCCTAAACCCTGTAACTCGAAACTAGGCTAAAATTCGAAGCGAAGACTACACCCAAAGGCTCCAAACAAATGTTCCTTTTTGGGTTAGATGTAGGGGATTCTAGTATGCTACCCCAAGAAGGTACTACATAGGAGCCTTTGGGTAGAAGGTAGAAGATCCTTGGCAGGGTGGGCCCAGGCTTGGGCTTACACATCTGCATAGTACAGAGCTCTGCCAGTATCAAGGATCCCGTTGGTATCTGAATACACCTTCAGCTGTCCCTTAAGTATCCTTAGGTTCCTTCCTCTTGAAAAAAACCATGCCAACATCCTTTTCCCACTTCCTTCGTGGTTCCCAATTGGCTGTCGGAAGGCGTGACTGCAGAAGAAGCTGGCGATGACTGTCAAGGCATCCATAGCTTCGGCCAAATGAGGGTTTAGGGTTTAGGGTTTAGGGAGGCTACAGGACGGGATTGGCAGGAGGTTGTTCCTCAAGGCACGAGCTTGACGATGTTCGCTTCCCCCCAGAAGCAGAGCACTGTCCACACGCGACAAGATGCATTTGCCTTGCCCACGAAAGCCCCAAAACGCGCAGGCTTTGCTGATTCTTCCGAGAAGATTGCGGCCGCTACAGTCCAGGCGCCCCAGGAAGGTGCCACGGCAGCAGGCAGTTGAGTTGGTCATGACTCTGGCGCAGCTTCGGCTAACCGAATCGACCGCTAAGAAGGGGTTGGGTTGTTGTCCGACACACATCAATACAAGTACATATAAGTATTAATATGAGTGTCCATATGTATATGTTTATTTATAGATACACACGCGTTTATGGGTATGTATCTGAAATTCACACACGCGTTTGATCTATCGTATATCATATATCATCTCTGTATATACATGCATGCACATGCGCGAGTGTGTGCGCGTGTGCAAGGCATGTAATGTTCGTAGTAGTGTATGTAAACATGCACGTATGTAAGCATGTATGTAAGCATGCATGCATGTATGTATGCATATGTATGTATGCATGCGCATGTGCATTGCATGTGCATGTGCAGGTGCAGGTGCATGTGCATGTGCATGTGCGTGTGTATATGTATATGTATGTGTATATACGTGCACGAGTCTGTATCTGGAATATACTGTCTGCCTTTGATTGCCAGATCGCGCTGGCAAACACTCGCAACACGACACACGGCCAAGCTAAATCTGGTGTTCGCAGTTTCCGGGATCTAAACCTTAAATTACACTAAACCTTAAACTAAACCCCTAAATCCTAAACCCTAAGCCGGGGCTTTGACAGCCCGGGAAATGGCTGATGCTCCCTGCCGACACAGTTTCCGGAGCGAAAATACGGGAGCTTTGAACTGTGCACCCCGCTTGGACTCCTTCTCCACCTGAGCCCTAAACCCTACACCATTTCGATATGCACAAAAAATATTTATATATGTTTCCCTCACCCCTAAACCCTATATATATATATATGTACATAAACATATGTATATGTATACACACCCTAGACCCTATATTTACACCCCTAAACCCTAAAGCCTCTATATATACATATACTACATATATATATATATATATGTATTTATTTCTATACTATATATAGATACATGTACACCCTAAACCCTAAATGCATATATATATATATATAATATGTATATATATATATATCATATGTTTCTTTATTTATTTATTCATTTATTTACCGCCTCGAAGCCCCTATTGCTGCAACCAGGACAAGCGGGCGTCCGCGCGATCCTGGACCTCCAGCCACTCCAGCAGCCGCCAGGAGCTCAGGTTTGGGGTTTAGGGTTTAGGGTTTGGGGTCTGGGGTCTAGGGGTTATGGTTTGGGTTTAGGGTTGAGGGTTGAGGGTTTAGGGGGTTGGGGCTTACTGCCCAGCCGGACAATCCGTGGCTTGGCTGACTTGGTAGCCCAGTGGTACTCTTTTTCCCTTTTTTGGTTCAAGGTTCCCTTATAAAGTAGCCAACCCAAAAACGGGTGCCCTTGTTGGAACATGGTTCCTGGGCCACCAAGCTTTCAGTTCCTTACTTGAAGGCTAACTACTGTAGAATAATAGGGGTGCCCTTTTTGGCTTCAAGGGAGTACAAGGGAAGCTAAACCCGGGGCTTAACTTATGGAAGGTTCATGGATACCTACAGGCAGGGTTGTAAGTACCCTAAGGAAGGTTCTAACCATAGTTAACCCTACTGATAAGTACCCATGAACGTGCAAGTGGGCTCCAGAAAACCAATAAACAAAAAATGCTGAACTAGCTTGTGTTTCGGGCTTAGGGTTTAGGGTGTTTTGAACTGGTGAGTTCATGTTTCTGAGAACTGGATCAGAGCTCCTACTGCAAGCCGCCCCTCTCGGAGGATACCTGCTCTTGATAGTGATTCCGAGAACCATCTGGCTTAAGCTGTATAGACCGGGGCTCAGTAGGCTACAACTACTTCAAGCTCTCCCCCCAGACCTCCGAAAGCCCTGGATTGTGGCTGCAGGTTCCTCGGCATCCGTCACTATCCGGCCGGAGGCCTGACCTGCTTTTTGCTGGTCAAAAGTGTTGTGGTGGGTTCCCGGATTCCCTTATGCAGTAACCAACCCACAAAAGGGTGCCCTTATTTGGACAGCTTATAGATCCGCCTCGAGAGGCTACGAGTTCCGGATCAACCACTCCACCAAGTTCCCCGCCATCCCAGTGGAGGAGGGCGAGACGGACATTGAGGCGGCGTACCGCGTGGCGTCGAAGCTACGCCACGCGGGCCGGGAGGCCTTTGGGGATGGGACCAGCGTGGTCTCCGCGCAAGCGGCCGTGGACGCATGGGGCCAGGGGATTCTCGCCCTCCACCGCCTCCGGAATCTGAACAAACGGGCGTGCGCGGAGGGCGCAAGGTTGCTGGAGTCCCCGTCCGCAGAGGATGTGAAGGAATTGGACCTGGTTCTGAGGCTAAACATCACCCAGGCCCTGTTGAGACTCGGATGATGCTCTGGAACTTGTGCTAACTTGCCAAAAAATTGAGAAACAAACTTCGAGTTACGGGGCATCGTCAAGGGTGACTTGCTTCAAGCAATCCTAAACCCTAAACCCTTAACCCTAAACCCTAAACCCTAAACCCTAAACCCTGAACCCTACAGCGGCCCAGGAAGTTGAAGCAGTACGAGTTCGCGGTCAGCCACTGCGATGCCGCCTTGGCCGCTCGACCCTCCTACCATGTGGGTTTAGGGTTTAGGGCTTAGGGTTTAGGGTTTAGGATTTAGGGCTTAGGGCTTAGGGCTTACGGTTTAGCATCTATCAATGCCTTGGCACTGTTTTTCCCAGACCCCGTGGAAGGATCCCAAAAAGGAGATCCCCAATAAGGGCTCCGAAAACTGGCCCATTATAGTAGTCTAGGGTACTATGTGGGGGGGGGGGGGGGGGGGGGTTCTACTTTTTGGAGATTCTCCCAGGGGTCTGGGTTTTTGCGTGGTCGGCAATATTTATCTGTCAATGCCTTGGCACCAAAGCCTGCTCGCTTCGAGAGCTTATACATGTGCCGTCCGCAACCACCCCCGAAACCCTAAACCCTCGAAGCCCTAAACCCTGACAACCCACAACCCTGACGACCCACAACCCACAACCCTAAACCCTAAACCCTGGACCCTAAACCCAAAACCCTAAACCCTAAACCCTAAACACCCTAGGCCCTAGGCCCTAACCCTAAACCCTAAACCCTAAACCGAGCCTGAGGAGCTGGACCCGAGGAACGTGAAGGGCCTCTGGCGCAAAGCCAAGGCTGTGTGGGCCCTCCGGTGCCCGGGGGAGGCCCTAACGGCGCTGCAGGAGCGAGCTTTCCCTAAACCCTAAACCCTAAACCCTAAACCCCAAACCCTAAACCCCAAACCCTAAACCCCAAACCCTAAACCCTAAACCCTAAACCGCTACCGCTTCAATCTCGGTTCTTGAAATCATGATGCGAAAAACAAGGTCTTTTTTGTACTGCATCCTTGTGGGGCTGCGCAGGCAAGGGGCGAAATCTTGGGCATCGATAACCGTTATGTGAGCTGCATAAGGGCCATGTCTAGACGCTTCCGCCACAGGTATGACAGGGGCCCCTGAACCCTAAACCCTAAACCCTAAACCCTAAACCCTAAACCCTAAACCCTAAACCCTAAACCCTAAACCCTAAACCCTATAAGCTAGGGCTACCCCACCCCGCGAAATCTTCTTACGGTGCTTGCTCGGCTGGTCTTTAAAGAAAGGAAAGGTTCACCAGACCCTGACAAATGCAACTGGACCCTGTTTGAGGCCAACCTGGTTTAGGGTTTAGGGTTTAGGGTTTAGGGTTTAGGGTTTAGGGTTTAGGGTTTAGGGCTTAGGGGGTTACAGTGGCAAATCTCCTAAAAGGGCGACATGCAGCACCCGTTGGCCGTTTAGGGTCTCAACGGTTTCGAGGTCTTAAAAAGGGCTTTGCGGGTTTTTAAGGGTTGAAGGGGTGTAAGAGTGCTTGAACATGTCTTTGATTTAAGGGTTGAAAGGGTTTCACGGCTAACCCTAGACCCTAAACCCTAAACCCTAAACCCTAAACCCTAGACCCTAAGCCCTATACCCTAAACCCTAAACCCTAAACCCTAAACCCGAACTCCTTTTGGAAAGGACTTCCTCAGTGTGGACCCGGGCAACCCAGCTGCCCGTGCCATGCTGAAGGAGATCGAGGCCGATGAGCAGAAGCGAAAGGCTGGCAGAGGGTTTAGGGTTTAGGGTTTAGGGTTTAGGGTTTAGGGTTTAGGGTTTAGGGTTTAGGGTTTAGGGTTTAGGGTTTGGGGTTTAGGGTTCAGGGTTTAGTGGGTTTAATGGGTTTAGGGTTTAGGGTTCAGGGTTTAGGGGGTTTAATGGGTTTAGGGGGTTTAGGGGGTTTAGGGGATTCAGGGGGTTTAGGGGGTTTAGAGGGTTTAGGGTTCAGGGTTTTGGTTTGGGGTGTTTAGGGTCTACAGGCTTCAGGGTTAGGGAAACCACCCAAAGTGTCCATTTGCAGTATTCTAAGGGAAGCAGGTACCCAGAAAACATCTTGAAATCCATGACGGTACCACAAACAGACCCTCCCTGTAAGGAACTCTGTCAACTTGTTGGAGAATATGGTCACGTGTTACTGTTCCTGGTTAAATGGTTGACATGGGATGCTGTTAAACCCTAAACCCTAAACCCTAAACCCTAAACCCTAAAACATGAACAGGGCTGCGAAGTGGACGGTGCGTTGCCATACTATGAACCGCTCCCACTGCTACGAGAGGTGTGGAGCTGAATTAGGCATATCCTTGGGGTGACTTGGGAGACAACGTAGTAAGGGCTAGGCCATACACGTATATAGAGATGCGCGGGTATGTGTGCACGTGTCTTACTTGAGCGTTACATATATATATATATATGTATACACACACACATATAGCTTATTTAAAGTTTATAGTTCTTTACTTGCACATCTATTTCTCTATTTTTGCTGGAACCTGAGTATGTCTGCAATACACGAAGCAGCCGCCGACGCAGGCCAAGCGAGTGGGCCCTGGCGCGGCGCAGCGCACGGTGCCCGCGCGGCCGGCCCCCGAAGCCAAAACGCCGGCCTCCGAGGACCCGGTGGGCGCTTCCGCAGCAGCCCAAGAGCCACTGCGCGGCACAGCCAAGGCCCTCTAAGCGCGGCTGGGGGGCGGGGGGGGGGGTGGGGGGCTTGTGAAGTTTTGAAGGGTTTCAGGGACCCCTAAACCCTAAATCCTATAAACCCTAAACCCTAAATCCTATAAACCCTAAATCCCTATAAACCCTATGAACCCTGTAAACCCTATGAACCCTATAAACCCTTTCAACCCTTTCAACGCTATAAACCCTATAAACCCTGTAAACCCAATAAACCCTATTAACCCCAAACCCTATGAAGCCCTAAGCCCAAGGCGCTTGGGCCTTCAGGGCTTGGTGTGGGTGAGACCAAGCGCGTGTTTCATGCCCTATGTAGCCCGCGCTCAACCTTACACTCACTATATCCCACTTGGGAATCATTTTTTCATTTTGTTTATATAAAACCCAAGAGGATATTAAACATGTTGTTTTTATTGAGGTTCTAAGGGGAGTATAGTACAGTAAACTCCAGAAAGTTGGAACCATCCTTATCCCCGTACCGCAGAAGGCATGGTAAAGGGAATCCCGGCTCTAATCATCCTTGGACCATGTTCCAGCTTTCTGGAGCTCACTGTAGAGGTAGCCGCCACAATCCGCATCCGGGCCAAGACGTTGCTACCAGTAGCGGGCTTCGGGCTTTTTTGTGCAATGAACATTATACATATGAATATATATATATATGTGTCTGTATGTATCTAAAAGGACAATACAAGAAACAAAAACCTTTAAGAATTATTTCAGTTAACATACACGTATAAAAAAAAAAAAAAAACATTATGTTTGTAAGTGGTGTTCAGTTTGGACTCGGGATCATGGAAATGGGAGTATTGTTGCAGAGGGCTTACAGGGCCAGCCTAGCAATTCGAGGTGCTTGCAATACCTTAGCGTCAAGAGGCTCGGATCTCGCGGTTTAGGGTTTAGGGTTTAGGGTTTAGGGTTTAGGGTTTAGGGTTTAGGGTTTAGGGTTTAGGGTTTAGGGTTTAGGGTTTAGGGTAGCCAACAGAAGCCCTCAGCTTCCTTGGATCCACCCTGAAGCCCTCAACTTTCCAGCAGAAGACTTAAAAAGACCTCCAAACCCTAAACCCCTAAGACGCTGAACCCCTAAACCCCTGAACCGCGGAACCCCCTAAACCCCTACCCCTAAACCCTAAAACACCCCAAACCCTAAACCATAAACCCTGAACCCGTGCCTATCAACCCTACACCCCCGTCCTCGGAGCAGGTACCCTCCTGGCCTTGCTGCCGGCGGAAGCCAAAGACTTCATAGCCCCCTTGATTGCCCAAAGTGGCTGCGGGTATCCAGGTGTTCGAAAAGTGAGTGAAACAAACAGCTTGGAGTTGACTTACCCTTAGCCCCCCCCCCCCAAGAAAGAAAAAAAAACAAGATGTGCATAAATATATATAGAGAAAGATAGAAAAACGATAAATAATGAATGAAAATCACAACAACGCCGTCTTTATGGCTCCCCTAAAACTCACGGCAGCTGCATGGTCAACTCAGCATGTCAAGAATCGTGGGATTTAGGGTCTAGGGTTTAGGGTTTTAGGGTCTTTAGGGTTTAGGGTTTTAGGTTCTAGGGCCTATAGGTCCAGTCTAGGGTGTAGGGTTCAGGGTTTCCAGTCTAGGGTTTAGGGGGTTTTCGGGTCTAGGGTTTAGGGTTTAGGGTTGCCTGCCTCCTGTTTGAGAACCGATGAGTGGAACTTTGTGTCTTTGCAGACCTGACAAAGCCACGACCCTGGTAACATGCCCTACAGTTCAGGGAGGCACCCTCTGTTGCATCAACCCTAAGTCCTAAACCCTAGGGTTTAGAGTTTAGGGTTTAGGGTTTAGGGCTTAGGGTTTAGGGTTTAGGGCCCTAAACCCTAAACTCTTCGTAGTAGGCGGCTCCGCTTTTTCATCCGCTGAAAGGGACCATGCTTGAGATCAACACTTCAACACCCCAAGCCTTCAACGCCATAAGACTATGGCACCCTGAACCTTATCGGAACCCCAAATCGCTTCAACCCTAAGCCCTACACCCTACACACCCTACACCCTAAACCCCGCAGCCTAAGCCCTAAACCCTAAGCCCGAAACCCTAAACCCTGAACTCTGAACCTTGCTTAGGAAGCCCAGATCGCGCGAGGTATTGCTCATGGCTGCGGATCGAAGGCAGCTCGCAAGGCTCAGAAGGCGCGGGAGATCCTCTACTTGGTAGCCCGTGGTTTCAACCCTAAACCCGAAACCCCTAAACCTAGACCTAAACCCTTTTGCCCCTATTTTAGGTTCAAGGCTTACTTATAAAGCAAACCCCAAAAGGGCACCCCTAGTATGATACGCTTACCGGGCTACCGCATCTTTAAGGCCATTGAAGGTTTATGGGCCCTGTATACCCTAAACCCTCAAAAGTAGAGGGTCTTTAGTATAGAGGGCTTCAAGTTCATAGGGTTGGAGGACACGCTGTCTCTGGTGATTTCTGGGGGCTTAGCACATTGGGTTGGAAGATAGTTCAGAGTGAGGAGCTTCGAGGGGTTTGGGGTTTTGGGCGTCCATCTATTGCTCCGATGATCACTGACTAAGCCCATCAACCCTCAACCCTGTGTTGCAGGTTCACGAAGAATGAAAGGTCGTTGGTTTTCGTTTGTGGGCAGGGCATGACCAGCGTTGAGATTGTTTTTTTTTACTCGAAGCCCTCAACCCTAAAGCCTCAAACATGAAAATGGATGTCATCATCATCATCATGATCATCATGATCATCATCATCATCTCAAAAATGAGTATCCGAGTGAGCGCAACGACGGCAGACTCCTCCGCGCAATCAAAACCCTCACCTAAAACACCCTCCAACCTCAAAGCATCCAAAATTCTTTAGGGTTTAGGGTTTAGGGTTTAGGGTTTAGGGTTTGGGGTCTGGGGTTTGGGGTTTAGGGCCCAAACCCTCACTGCTGGCAGGCCCGTCGTCGCCCGCAGAAGCGACGCACAAGCCGCGGCTCCACGCCCTCCTCCCCGGAGACCAGGGCAGGCGTTGAGGGGGGGAGGGGGGTGGGGGGAGAGTTCGGGTTTAGGGTTTAGGGTTTGGGGTTTGGGGTTTGGGGTTTGGGGTTTGGGGTCTGGGGTTTGGGGTTTGGGGGCTTGGGGGTAGGGGGTAGGGGGTAGGGGGTAGGGGGTAGGGGGTAGGGGGTAGGGTTAGGGTTTAGGGTTTAGGGTTTAGGGTTTAGGGTTGAGGGTTGAGGGTTGAGGGTTGAGGGTTTAGGGTTTAGGGTTTAGGGTTTAGGGTTTAGGTTTACTGTATCTAGGGTTGTGAGTGGGGAGTTCATATCTGCATAGTTATATATCCTTATTTGTGGGTCTGGAAACCTCATTGGGGAGGGAGGGGGGAGCGGAGTTGAAAAGGTCTGAGGACTCATGGGCGAATGTCTTTGGTGGAAGGCCTCTCGTGAGGAGTCTTATCTATCCTTTTGGTTAGACCTATCCAAATGTCGCCTCCCTTGGTGGATGAGAAGGAATCGTGCAGAAGGGGCCGAGGAAGAGATCGTAGATGACGGTATCGTTACAGGGGGTGGCCAGTCAGAGAGTTCCTTTCCGAGCCGTGGGACGTGTGGACGAAGTTGTGGGACTTAGATGCCGAAGTCACCTCCCAAAAAATCGGCCTCTGAGCTTTTGAGCCCTCCACCCAACACTGCCCAAGCACGGGATACAGAAGGGTCTGCCGGAGTCATGCGCCATCGTACGAGATGTTTTGGGTGAGTGTTTGTGCATATCATGCGGTGCTCTTCATTTGGGATGCTGGTCCTGAACCCCCTACTTCATAGCTAGTCGGGGTGGGAGGCAGCCCCTATACCCTAAGCCCTAAACCCTAAACCTTGCTATACAGCATACAGCAAGGGCTCCTAGGACTCCGAGTAGGTCCTGATTCCCCTAGTTGCGTTCAGCACCCATACAGGGCGCCCTTTTTTCTTCCTACAGGGTCCTAAACCCCAACCCCAAACCCCCAACCCCCAACCCCAAACCCCAAACCCCAAACCCGAAACCCTAAACCCCAAACCCTAAACCCTACAGTTCTTTGACAACCTCTCGCTAGAGGCAGCCCGCGCTCGCGCGGCATCAAGAGAGATCTCGAGTCCTGTGGGAACGGGCTTCATCACATCGCGGAGAACGGCCATTTCTCTACAAAAGGACGGGAGTCGGGACCATGGTTGAGGGTTTAGGGTTTAGGGTTTAGGGTTTAGGGTTTTTTTTATAAGGGTTTTAGGGGTTGTTTTAGTAGGGTTCCTGATGTTTTTTTTTTGGGGGGGGGGTTAGTTTTTTTTTTTTTTTAAGGGTCCCGAGTTTGGTGAGTTCAATGATTCCCCAAAGCCATGGACCCTGACTTGATGAACAGCTGTGGTCGTGTCCGCCAGTTTGCAGCCCTTGAATCCACGTTGCTCCTCTCTCAGCAGTCGCTGCTCTGCATCGTGTGGGCTAGAAAGGGTTTTCGCTTTCGAGTTTTCTGAGCCAGGAGCAGTCAAAGCAGCTGCTTCTTGGCTGCATTTTGGGAGGTGTGCCTTACATTTGAACAAAAGCATTCTCCAAGAACCCAGCGCAGCGCCCTAAACCCTACACCCTACACCCTAAACCCTAAACCCTAAACCCTAGACCCGATGTACTCCTTACAGTCCCTACAGAGCGAGCAGGTACCCGCGACAATTCTGCCCGCCAAGCCGGCCGTGGCGAACCTGGCAAACATTAAGGCTCCTGTTCCACCCTAAACCCTGTACCCTATACCCTGTACCCTTAACCCTAAACCCTGTCCCCTATACCGCATACCCTATACCCGATACAGTACCCTATACCCTGTACCCGTACCCTGTACCCTATACCCTAAAGCATCCCTGGGCTTTATGTTCTTTGCGGACGCGATCACCATGAGTCGCAGCCACTGATCCGAAAGATGCCGAAATGCCTTGTCTTGCCTTGCGGGCCGTACTTATCAATCTGTCCACCCTAAACCCTACACCCTAACCGTAAACCCTACACCGTAAACCCTAAACCC